CGCCAACAACATCAACTTCACTTGGGAAAGTTAATTTTGACAAATTTTTACATTCAGCAAAACAATAATTCCCAATGTACTTCATCTTCTTGGGCATGTAAACTTCAGCAAGATTCGAGCAGTTGTTAAAACAGGAGTCTCCCAAAAAAGTCACAGCAAGGGGGATATTCACACCTTTAAGTGTAACACAATTTTCAAAACAACTTCTTCCTACACTTTTTAAATCATTTTGCAATACAATTTCAACAAGAGAACTGCAACTATTAAAACAACACTCTGAAAGTCTTGAGATACCTTTTGGAATATTAATAATTGAAAGTGAAGAGCAATTTGAAAAACAGAATTTTCCAATTGTCTTTAAGTTTAATGGGAAATTAAATTCCGACAGCGCCACACACGTGAAAAAGCAGAAATCTCCAAGACTTACAGTGTCATTCGATACAAACACCCTTTCAAGTGATTTACATTCGTAAAACGCATTCTCTTCAAATTTAGTTGTGTTTGGAAAGAATTTGATTTCTCTTAAAGAATTACAGAAACTGAAACAGCTCTGTGGAATTGTTTTGATATATTTTGGGCATTTTATTTTCGATATATTGACGCAATTTGAAAAGCAGTTATTTCCAAGAAACAACAAATTTGTTGGTAAAACAATTTTTCTCAACATTTCACATTCAGAAAAGCAGTTATTTCCCAACGAAATGATTTCATTGTTTAATATCACTGATCTCAAATTTGTACATTTTTGAAAGCAACTGTTGCCAAGAGCAGTTAAATGATACTTATCACTTTCACTTCTTTGAAAAGGAGATTTGAAGTCTATTGATGTTAAAAAATAACACGATGAGAAACACGAATCTCCCAAAATATTCACATTTTTTGGAACTTCGTCGCCAAAAAATAAACGTTCGCTTAACCCATACATCAAATGAAGAAATTTATAACTCTCGTTTGTGTCTTTCGTCAAATGATAATACATGTAACTGGTTGGATAGTAAATGATCCGTTTAAAAAAGTGTATGTCAGAAAATGGTTCGTCTTCTTTGTGATATTGATGAAACGTTTCAATCTGTGTAAAGTATTTGAGTTGTGTTTTGGTGAGTGGAATCGGATTAAAATGGAACTTGTCAACTGTTTTTTCAAATTTTTTGCATACACACTCAAGGCGTATGAAATCGTCCATGGACATAAAATATTTTGAAACAATCATTGCACTATGACCATCCAACTTTTTCATAATTAAAATTTTATTATTTTAATTTTTTTTTAGAATATAAATATAGTTTGTCCAATTGTTTTAATTTAATGTAATTTAATTTAATTATAAAATAAATTATTTTATTAATATTAATACATAATACTATTATGTATTACATTAATAATTATTTATTAATACTTTTTTATTTTGAATTAATATTGAATAGTATTTCGGGTATTATTATAATAATCATATTACAACTACAAAAATAATTATTAACAATATTTATAATATAATGATTATTATTATTACTACCAAGCAATATAATAATTCATCTAATTATATATTACTTTTTTTTTACTTCATCAAAAAGTTAAATGATGTTTAATTTATTATAATATAAATTAAAAATCTTTGAAACGTTTATTAATGTCATACGAACAAGAGAAAGAAGAATACTACAGATTTAAGAATGAATTTTCTCAACAATTAGATAAAAGTTATTGTGAAGATTCAATGCATCTAACTGAAGAATTAGCAATTCAATGGAATTACAAAATAGAACGTAAAATACTTTGTTGCAATGTTGAGACCACAGAAGAAACAAAAGAAATATTAAAACAAAATTCTAATCAATATGAATTGGCACTTTCTTTATTAGTAAATAATATTTTTGATCAATTTAAACAACTAAAATTTGACAAGGTGTCTCAGAAAAAAGTAATAACTGACTTTTTAACTCAAAATTTGTGGCTTTTTTCGTCAACAAACGTTGGGACTCCTCAATATGACTTTAAAATTTTATTTTCAACCACAACGAAAAATTTTGTTGAATGTGTCCAACAAACGGATGAAACGTGTTTTGAATTGTTGTTGTTTTTACATTTTTTGAAATACGCATATTCACCAAACAAACATAAAAATTTTAATTCTGGAATTGGTATTATCAATTATTTAAGAACAGACCCATATTTCTGTTACACAGAATTCGATGATAATTTTCGAAACAATTACAACCAACTTCTTTCAAAGTTAGACCGTCTTGTTAAAGAACGTTCAGAATTGGAAAAAGACATTCCAAAACAAATAGGAAAACTCATTCAGTTATATCAAAAATTGGCTGAGAAAAATTGTCCAATTGTTGTTGTTACTTTTGAAGAATGGTACAATGAATTAGCCAAAACTGTTATATTACTCAAACGTGATGATAATGGTAAAATAATTGATAGACACGTTTACAAGTTCCAGGTGAAACAATACATGAAACCAAACACTATTTTCAAGGTGAATGACCAAACTTTTCGGCTTAAAATTTACATGAAAAACTATGTGTACGATGAAAGTAATGGACAAGTTGTACTCAAAATACGACCTGAGCCAAATAATCAATTTTATAGAAAAATAGTCGTCCACCCAAATGGGACTTCACTTGTTTATAATGATTTTGAAAACGGAAAAGTTACATTTAGGAACATGGGTGTTGATGGTGGTGATTTTGTGTTGATAACTGACTATTCAGATGATCATTCTTTAAGCAAAACTTCAGAAAAGCAAATTGATGATGAAATAAAAAAAGACAGAGAACTTTTTGTGAATCAAAAACAAATCGTCATTAAGAAATTAGAAAGTTTAATTGCTTGCAAAGAAAAAATTCAAAAGACTGAAATCGAATTTAAAATAGAAGATCATAAAATGAAAGAACTTAAGTCGAATATAATTTCCGCAACAACTCTTAACGAGTTAAGAAAAGTACTGCAATTTAAAAAGTCGCAATTAGATCGTCTTTTAGATAATTAAATTGTTTTTGGTTTTCATATCAATTGTTATTTAAACTTATTTTTTAAAAATTTGTTAATTTAATAAATAAATTTATTATTTTTTTATTTCAATTACAGTAAAATTGTTATATTTATATATTATTTATAATAATGGTTATAAAACCGCCTATTCTTTTTAATTACTCTCTCATGTATTAATAATAAAGATATGACAAATATATATATATTACAAAAACCACCTCTAACATAAAAGTTTATACCATCCATATTAAGTCATTGTGGTAAACAGTATCATACATGATATTATAATATTATTAATTAAATCTATCGAAACAAATGATAGCAGCCCAAAAGGCTTTATATTACTGTGTATATAACTATAAAAAACGTTAAAAATCACTTGGAATTGCTTTTGAGAATTGCAGTAGTTTGTTTTATACGAGACATAAATTCGTCAAAACTGATCGATTTACTTCCATCAAAATCACATATAGAAAACAGTAAATTGCAAATGTTATTATTTGGATCGTCTTGAACGCTATTTACCAGCTTCTTGAATTCGTCAATTTCAATAGTCCCGTTGTGGTTTGTGTCTATCATTTTAAATAATGTATAACAAAGTTTTTCATATGAAATTCCATTCATTTCATTAAAAATTGAAGCAATTTTAAACGCGATTTGTTTGTCAATTATTGTTGTTTGTGGAATTTTGTATTTCGAAAAATTAAAAATTAAAATGAGCTCAACGATTTCTTCTTTTTCTGCATCAAAATGGAAGTGTTCGACTATATTCTTTGTTATAAAAAGAATGTTACAGTCGCCAACTTTCATAATTTCATCTTCAAGTTTTTGGTTTTCTTTTGACATCTAGTTTTTATTATGAATAATTAGTTTAGAAATTAATACTTTATTTATTAATTTATTAATTATTACAAAATTAAATACGAGAAGTATAAGAAATTAATAATTATTTATAGCACTATTATAATTATTATAATTTTATTATAATGTTATTATTATTTTATAAACCAATTATAAACTAGAAATTTAATAAAGCAATACTTTAATTATTCGTAGAAATGATTATAATCAAGAAAGTCATTAGGGTCGAGGGGATAATTACGAAATATGTCACCTTCTTTTTTAAAGTACGCGTTGTGTATTGCAATATAATTAAAGAAACACTGCCACGCTCTTGTATTGAGTGTTTTCAAGTCACCAAGTACAATACACCCTTTTTTGGCTCTAGAAAGTGACACATTTACTCTACAGTAATCTCCAACGAACCCAGGATAGTGAATAGTATTCGATCGAACAGTAGACACAATGATATAGTCTGCTTCATTTCCTTGAAATCCATCAATTGTTGCGACTCTGGAGTCTTGGTTATGTCTTTGTTGTATCAAATTTTTTTGTTTAGTGTATGGTGTAATAATTGCGATATCATTTTTATTGATGTCTTGTTGCTGTAGTTTTTCAAATAAAATGAGTGCGACTTTGTGTTGATCTTCATTGAATAAACTTTTGTCTTTGTCCATATGATTTTCTTTGTAATCAACATCAATGAAAATATAAGGAAATGAATTTTCAAAAATGGCATTAAACACGTTGTTTTCATTTGATATTTTTGTGTAGGCAAGTTCTTTTTTATAAAAAGACGTGTTAATAAATTCATGTATTCCAAAATCCATTCTATACTGCTTTTTTAATGTGGTGATAGGAACATTTTGCATGTAAATTAATCTTTCCATTGTTGATGTGTTATAGCGACCACTCTTCCCCGGTTGACTTTTCACAACAGCTTGAAGTTGATTTAAGTCCCCTATTATGACAGACCTCTCACCACGAAAGAGACCAATTGCACTGTAAGGTTCTAAGACTTGTCCAGCTTCGTCTAAAATAGAGAGATCGAAATGAATGTGATTCAAATAAGGCGACAACGCCATACTACTTGTGGCTACAATGCATTCTTTGTTTTTAGTAATTTCAGAAAATTGGTCTTTTATGTATTTTTCAATTGGCACTTTGAATGTATTAATTAATCGCTGTTTTTGGTGATCATTCCAATTTTGGGGGTTCGTCACAAAGTCCAATTTTTCACTCAGCATTTCAAACTTCATTTTCCCTTTAAATTTTTTAGAAGTCTTTTTACCTACAGTTTTACAACCATCTCCATCATCTTCTTTGTCATCTTTTACTTCATTTTCTTCTTTTCATTTGTATTTGGTTCATCTTTGCTCACTTTTAATTGTTTCTGTAACAATTTAGTGTCATCTTTTGGTTTTATATCTTTGTCATCTCTTCTTTCACCTCTTCGATTATTTTCATTTATATTGTCATTTTTTCTTCTTGCCAACGTCCAGTCTCTGACATCTCTTTCTTCAGGGTTTTGCATAAATTAATTAAAAGTGACCTTATATATACTGTCTTCCAATATTTGTTCGTCAACTTCTCCAATTGAGTCGTATGGTAATAATCTAAGAACATGCAAATCTTCATTGTGTAAATAAGTTTGTAAGACATCAGTTGCTGAGTTTGATGAAGCCATACACAACAATCTTCGTTTGGTGTGAGTGATTCTATTTGTTTTATCCTCTTCTTGTAAGTTTTCCAACAACGTTTTACACATCACAGAAGCACATTTGGTTTTACCCGTTCCCGGTGGTCCAATAATTATCGAAATTTTGTTATTCATTCCATTGAGAATCGCTTTAATCTGGTCTAAGTTCAAGACTTTCTTTTGTTCAGCTTCTATATCGTTTTCATTGTATTTGTCTGGTTTGTGTTGACAAGTCTTTCCCAACAATTCATCAATTTTTGGATTGCCTCTGTTTTCTTCCACAAAATTGTAAAACTTCTCTTGTGTAGTTTGGTAAAACCGAGTAAAAAAGAAGAGTCGAACAAGCTTAAAATTGTGTAGCAACTCTTCATCAAGTTTGGTTTTTTCCTTTAATGGACCTTCTGGAAAATCGAAATAGTTCTCATCAATATTAATCTCATATTCATTATTACTGATTCGAATTACTCGACCCATTACAAACTTTGGAACCTTCTTCATTACATCTTCTAAAATATCATAATTTCGATCGTCAAACTTATCATCAAAAAGGTAAAAATTGCCCTTAGTAATAACTGAAGCTGCCTCCAAAACAAAAAAGACACCTTGTATTATATTTGATGCTCAATGTGCGTTCACGGAACTCAAGAACACATCTATTAACACGTACTACAACACCTGTTTTTACATTTGTATAATTAAAATGGCGAAACGACAGTCTGTCAAGTGGGACGACATTTACATTGTTTTCAAAACGCGTTTCCGATTGTTTGACACAATCTTCAAAAACACTTATCTTATCATCAACTTCTTCTTCTTTACGAATGAAATAGTCATATGTTGCCCAATATTCATTAATGTTATCATAATAAGAAGTCACATTAGTTCCATCGCCTTTGTCCTTTGTTACATGTTCGAAGTTTCTTACATATTGCGTTGTTACATCAGCTCCAACTTCATATACAAAGAATTCAGTGTGAAATACACTTTCTAAAACGAGAGGACGACTATAAAGGCCTTTATTGGCTTGTGCTACAATTGTGTCGTTTCTGAGACATGTGTGGCATATAACTTTTTTGTCGGTTTCTTCGTGTATCTCTGGGCACTTTGTTTCTTTGTTTTCAAACTGTTTAGATTCCTTTTCACATTTTCCACCCGTTTTAATTGATGAAACAATTTCTTTGTCTTCTTTTTTAAAAAATTTCAAATTAAAAATGTTCGAATCTTCGCAATTACAACAGCAAAGCAGCTGTCCTTTGTATTTGACGTTCTTGTGCCCAGTTGATGATAAATGAAACATGATGTGACTTAATAAGAGTCCTTCGATTTTCCCATTGCAAAAATAAATACCACAATCATCACATTGAATCTGTGTTGGAAATTCACAATAAGTGCAATGGTTATCTTCTATTTGCGCCATAAAATAATTAAAACAATTTTGAGTTTATTACTGAGATACTTTATGATAATTATATTTTGTTTTTATACAAACAATGTCAAAGTTTGTAACTTAAAAAAATAATTTGTAATATTATAAACTATAATTTTCTTTATTTTTATTTTAACCATAAGTTTTTTTAGTTTATAATTGAATGTTACATTTTCAAAATATTTTTGTGACGATTTTATTTCACAGTTAAAAATAAAATTTTGCTCATTCAATTATCAAAACGTTTTAATTCTGATTTATCAGATTAATGTCACTAAAATAATTCATAACGTCATTTATATCTTGAAATTGTTAACAATAATTATTATATTATGTAATTAAAAAAAAAATACAAATTATATAATAATTTGTTTTTGTATTTTTTTTAGCTGTAACAAAAAAATACAAAAAAATTGATTTATTCTTTAGACATTTATAGTATAAATAATTAAACATTTTAATAAACCTAATTCTTTTATAATATTTTTTTTGTGAAAAAAATTGGATCTTTTTTATAAAAATAATATTATATTTTAGTTAATAACTATTATTTTATAAAAACGAATTTAATTATTAATTAACACTTGTAAATTAATCAAGAATTGAAAAAAACACTACATTTGTGGTAAATACTAAAATATAATATTTAATAGTATAATTCAAATAAAACATAAAAACATAACAAAATTTTATCTTCGTTTTTTCTTATATTACTAAAATTAATAAAAAAAACTAAAAATATAGTAAGTTTCATTAAGATGAATTTGGATAATTCTTTAAGTGAAATTCATTATTTTGAAAAACAAAATTATTATATTTTAAACATAATCTTAAATATGTTTATATATTAGATCATTTAATCTAATAATATAATAGTTATTTTAATTATTTTGAAAATATAAGAGTAAATATAAAATAACATGACAAAAATTACGAAATTATTTTCAAAAGCACAAAAAGTATTTTAATGCACTTTTTTTCAACATTCAAAAAGTGTACAAAATTTTTCTTTCGAACTCCAAACCAAAAATTTCTCGCCTGTTTAGAATTTATTCGACTCGAAGTTAAGAGCAAATTCAATAAAACAATTTATTCAAATGTCAAAACAAATGTCGCTCAAGGATTTTGATTATCCCTGCAAGTACAAGGCTGACACGACAAGTAAATACTTTAGTGAAGAATTGCCTGATGTCATGTTTGATCAGTTATGGCAACAACTGAAAGGTGCAGCTGTTATGACATTAACCAAGTATGACCCGACACATGCAGACGTCTACAAGGGAATGTTAGCCAAAGGTGATTCCTTGTTTGATCCACAGTTTAAAAGTATGATGAAAGAATACTTTGCCGGGTGTTTTGATGTTAAATCTGCAATGACACAAACGATCTTTAGAAATGTTGTTGGGAAGATTATGTGTTATATGCGCTTTAGCACTGAAAGAGCACTTTACAGTGAAGAACTCTCTAAAGTTGAACTCAAACGTCCTCTTTTCATCACATCACTGCCACGAAGTGGCTCTACATTCCTTCACAATTTGATCGCTAACGACCCAAGAGCAAATGCCATTCAACTTTTTGAACACATTTGCCCTGGAAGTCATACGATGGCCCACGACGCACGAATAAAAATAATTCAAGATCTTTTGGACCAATTCCACAAAAACTCGCTTGAGGACTTCGACGCAGTTCACAACACAGACTCTCCTCTTAACTACGAGGAAGAAGCATTTTTCATGGAAATGCTTGGGCAGTGCTTTGTCATGTCCTCTTCAATTCCACGTATAGAGCAGTACAGAGAGCATTTATATAATGCAGACTTTCATTATGTCTACGAAGCACTTATTGATGAAATTAAGATGCATTTGGTAGAATACCCAATCACAAGAAAAGACGGGTTTGTCTGTTTAAAGGCAGTCAATCACTTTGCATCAATGGCACCAATGCTTGACGTCTTGGGTGATGAGAAGTACGAAGCCAACTTTGTGTGGATCCACAGAGAGCCAATTGAGCAGTTGAAATCGTTCATTGTTCTTATGGTTGGCTTGCAAGGCAGATTTGAGCATGATCTGGGAAGAAACGACATCGAGTGGATCAATAAATCTGCTGTAACAATCAACGAAATTGTGTTGAAAAATATTATAGCAACACGAGATGAGTGGATCAAAAGAGACCCCAAGAGAGCAGATAAAATAATCGATGTTGGATTCAAAGAACTCACAACACATCCTAAAGAAACTGTACAGAAAATTTACAAGAAATTTGGAATTGACTATAACGAGGAAATTGATAAAGCACTTACAGCTACTATTGAAGACAAAGACCCACAAAGAACTCATGGAAGAAAGAAACACATGGAACACATCTATTTGTTTGATGAGGAGGAAATTAGAAATAAATTTAAGTTCTACTATGATAGATTCTCGGAGTACTTGCCAGAGTATTATGGAAAGAAGTAATTCAAAAAGTGAAGTTTTTTATATTTAAAAAATATTAATCGAATTGGTGATAAAAGTCCACTTGATAAAATTAACTATATTTTATGATAAACAACCATTTATTATTAGTTTCTAATTTAATTTTTATTATATTTCATAAAAGTATTAATTATATTCAATTGAGATATCAAGACGACTTTCAACGAAAACAAATAAAATTGTTTTTTGAGATGGATAGAATGAATTTTTTTAATCATTTTTTAATTATGTTTTTTGATTTTTTTGGTTTTTATTAATGTTTTTGAAATAATACAAAATGTTTTTTAAATATAGTAATAAATATTATGTTTTACTATAAATCGAAAACGAGCTGAACTTTTTCTCACTTGCTATGATAATCAAAAAAACTTTACAAGTAAAAAAAAATAAAATTTATTTAAAAAACATGAACCAAACAAAAATCATCACGAAAAATGGAGGAGTTAAAAAGATTAAAAAATACCATTTGATTTGGAATCCAATAGCAATTAAAAATATCAACCAAGAACATATGAAAATTATAAATGAAATTTTGCCTTCTTGTTTTTTTCCAACTTCGTACATGAAAAGTGAGCAAAACCCACTCAAGAGTTTAGACCGAGTATAATAAAACACTTTCTCTGGGTAACTGTAAGTGGATTGGTTTGCTATACAAGCCAATGTCATTAACATGTTGAACAATGAGAATATCAATAACGCATTTATCAAATAGTTTGTCACTTGTAATCCTCCATACATAAAAATAGCACCAAATAAGAGTTGAATTGTGGTGGTAAGAAGAGATGGAATACAGTTACACCTTACTATGTTACAAAACAAATAAAAAACTCCAAAATATAAGATATCGATGATAATAATAGTTTCAACATGTGAAGAGATTAAAGCATCTAAAATCGAGTATTTCATTATAAAAAAAGAAAAGAGCATTTTAATCAACACATAAAGAGGAAAAACACCAAGTGAAATAAACTTAAACCAGTTCATATCACTTTTAATGTATCTGAAATCAAGTTTATCAATTAAATGAAAAGGAATGGCATTATTGTGTACTCTTTTAATTAATTTAATATTAGTCAATGTGTTGATATTACTGGCACTTGATTCAATTTCTTTTAAATTGATTTTTTCAACTGAGTTTGGGAGAGTGACATTTGAGCAATAGATATTTGCTGTTTTCACGTTATCAAAACATTCACAATTTGTCTTTTCGTATATATTAAGTTTGCTTGGAAGATACAACTGTTGATATAATTTTGTTTGAGTTTCGAGTTGTATGAATGAAAAGTCGTAGCTGTGTTTTAAGGTGTACACAAAACAACCGATTGGTCCTTCAATTACAAAATTGAAATTATAAATTTGAACCAGCTCATTAATCTTTTTATATAAATAGTAATGTTCTGGTCGGTATCCCAAATTTCTGATGAAATTCAATTTAATTATTTTCTTAACATTTAGTGGGATCAATTGATTTATTAATGGATCAAAATCAAATGGAAATGTGAATTTGGTTGGGTCAAAGCTTGTTTCAACTATTTTGAGTGATGGGAACCTTGAAAAGTCAAAAGTCCTGTTTTTATTGAAAACATCTTTTTTGAATACAATCTTTTCAACAAGATTTGTATCTTGAAATTGTTGATCAACTTTTGAAATAAACAATGTTTTAAGAGATATTCTACAATGAAAGAAATTGTTATAAACGTCTTGATAAAAGACCAAAAGTTGATTATTGAACTTTGATGATTTAGAAAAGATGTTATTATTGAAATTGACAAGTGAAAGATGCTCAAAATTGTCAAATAATGTTGGGTCTTTTAATTCAATGAGTTTTTGATAATCTGCAATTGATATGGTTAAAGTCTCGATATTTGGAAGGTACTTCGAAATAATTTGAACTGTTCGTTCACAATTTAATGAACATTCTGTGGACCAATTGTTTGTTTTCATTGATAACAAACTTTGTGAAGTAGCATGAGAAACCATATTATATTTGTAAAGATTTGATGGAGGCAAATATAATACAATATTCATCAGATAGACGGGTTCCAGAATTACCATTTTAATGAAATTAATAGTTTTTTTTAGTTGTTTTAATATTTTTTATACTAAATGATTTATAAAAATATCATGTTTTTAATAAACATTCGAAATGAATTTAAATGATTTATTTTAAAAATGAATTATCCATTTTTATTGTTTTTTTTATTAAAAATATAATTATTTATGAGTAAAGTCATTCTTAAAACCTTGCAACTTTAAGTGTCAGTGCAACTTTGTTTATAGTATAATTATAGTAAAATAATTATATGTATTTATAAAATTAAACAAGAAAACACAAACAAATTTTTTTAAAACTATTACTCCAATTGAATTACTATAACTAAACTATAACTATATTTACATAATTTATTTTGGGTTGCACCATTCAACCGTCTTGTGTTTATCAAAAATTTGCAGCGAAAAAGTTTTTGAACCACACGAGTTGGCTTTATTCATCATTTTTGTTTTATAAATGAGATGTTTAACATCTGCACTATCCACAATCGGTTTACAACGCTGTTTTATTCGTTTTATGACAATTAAAATTCCGAATTTTTATACTTTTTATTAGAACAAGCAGTTGAACTCATTATTTAATTATCGAGTTATATTTTATGTTGATTTATAACATAATTCAACTTTTTGTTTTTGTTCAAAAAAGAGTTTCCCCTTTGTTATGAGTAAAAAACAAAGAAAAATTAAAGTTGCACACTTATTTGGAATGACTTTATATCATTATATTTAATTCCATTACATTAATTGATAAAAAGAATTGACAAAAGTGACAATTACTTTAAACTTCTTATTGTTTGTGTTATACAAACACAATATTAGATCTGATTAAATTATATTATGTTAAATAATTATTACTTTATTACTTTATTATTATGGAAATAATGTATAATAATGAAATGTCAAATTAAATAATTATTCATTAATGATGAGATGACCAACTTGAAGCGTATATTTATTTTAATTATAAATTATGAACATTTAAGAGTAAGTTCAATAGAATTAATAATCATTATCTAATTAATCAATATGCAATTATTTATAATCAATAAACTTTAACTATACTTTAATAATTAATATAATATAAATTGTAATAATATTATGTAATTTTTATTTATAAATAAAAAAGATAACAATTCTATTATAAAAAGATATATTTTACTATATTAAAATTATATAAATTATGATTTTTGTAAAATTTAATTTGCATCACTCTAACGACACAACCATAAAGTGTCGTTGGAGTGATACAAATTTTTATAGTAATGTAAAAGTTCCAAATAAAATCTAAAAAATAAATTAAACTTCAATGTTCATTTTGTTTTCAGGCCTATATGCTGTTTTGCAATCAGTAGGCGCAGGAGTCACAATAGCTGCGACTGGTTCCACAGTTGCAGGTGCCGGTGTTGGATTATATGCAGGACTACAAGCGGCTGCTGCAGTTGTTGCGGGTCCGGTTCTCCTTCCAGCTGCGGCAATTGGTGGAGCTGGATATGCGGCATACCAGTACATGAACAAAGATTATGATTATAAAAACAGCAAGAAATAATTATTTTTTTGGTTATTTTAACACTTAACTGGCCGAAAACCAATTATTTATTAGAATAATAACAATATCAAAAAATGCTTTCTTTAAAAAAATCGTTAAAAAAGACCAAAAACCCCTTCTTGGCCGAAAAACCGAAAAATGACCCAAAACTTAGTCAAAAATAATAAAAATGAGGACTCAATTAACTAAGATTTGTTTTTGAGGTTAAAAATAGCAACACTTTTTTTCAAAAACACAGTCAAACTTTTCAAAAGCAAGAATGTATGGTAATTTTTGTTCTCTCAAGAACGGGAATTTTCGCCAATCAAACATCAAAACCTGTTCTATAGAAAACTCGATTTTTGGATTCAGCCCAAACTGCTTTCTATTGAGAGTTGCGCGATTCAGAAGTGCCGCGTTCAATAGGTTTTACTATATTTCAGAACCCCAAATTTGTTTTATTAAATAATAATATATCCAATATCCAATAACAAATTTTGTTGCATAAATAAGACGTATATTATAAATATAAAAACGAACCATAACAAACTCAATTTGATTTGATGTATGTCGGTGTTGACTAGATAAACAGCAAGTTGCTTTTTAATTCGATAATATGTTGTTTTTATTGATGTTTTAGTTCATGTTATTAAAAATAGATCTGAATAAAAAACAAAATAACAATCTATTAATATTATTATAACATTATCATAACAAATAGTAAATATTATGATAAAAAATATATAAAACTATTTATTTAGTTATTTAATTAATATTATGTAACAATAGTTTACATTATTATATTTTCCAAACATCATTTTTGTCTTTTTTTGCAAAATCCAAAAATTTTTATGATATTAGTTTATGTTATTATAATTATACAAAATATTTATTTAATTATGTCGTCACTTTAAAAATAATTTTTATAAAATTTTTACCAAATTTCATTTTGAAACATGAAATTCATGAAAAATGAAATGAAAGGCAAAAATCAAATTTGGTATTAAATTATTTAAAAAATCATATTTTTTGGCTTTAGGCCATTTGAGTGTTAATGTTTGCACATACAGTCCAATTTTTCAAATGCAGGAGAGTATGGTAATTTTATTTTCACAAGGGTGTGCATTTTAGCCAATCAAAATTAAAACCCACTCCATAGAAAACTTTATTTTTTTGTTTTAGTCTAAAAAATGCCGATTCTTGGGTTTTTCACTGTAATTACAACAATATAGAGTTAGTCGGAAAACGTTGTCCTGGGCTTTTTGGTCAATGTAAATTGGAAAATATCGGGATCATGTTCGAAATATAAAAAAATCGTCGTTTCAGTTTTTTTCCTAATTTTTACTTAATTCCCGGGGTTTTAAACAACTATTTGTGTATAAATTGATAAAAAGGATAACGTTGACGACTGAGACAACGTTTTACAACAAACTATAAAGTCTGTTTTCTATTTAACGATATTGGGTTTTTACTATTATTTATAATAACAGTATTATAATTTATAATAATAAAGTGGTTTTTCTAAAAAATGGTTTGTATTTTATTTTTTTTTTTTTTTTTTATAAAAGTGTGCTAAAAATAACAAAAAACAAAATTGCTTTAGAACTAAAAAAATAATAAAGTCAAAACGAAGAATAGGTTGGTCTTGAAATGTGAATACGACGAAATAAACTATGTCAACCAGGTTATTTAAAATGAATATGTTGTCATATTTGATAGAGCAGACGCGTCAAATTATCATTTGGGTCAAATTGAAAACGACAACAAGTGAATTGGAAAAAAGTCAATGCTTAGGATTTGTTTATCATTAGTTAAAATTAATGACAATTTTATTAATAGTTAATGGTTTTTAATTAGCGATATTGAGTATAGTAAATAATGGTTTCATATTTTCGGTCTAGTTCTCTTCTTTGTTATATTTTTAGAATATCGCTAAACTGAAAACAGACTTTATTTTGAAAAATATTATTCGCAATGTAACAAATTATTCTATTCATTAACACAATAAAGTTATTGATATTAAATAATTAAAACCTTATGTTTTGATAAACACAATAAAAATTTATTTAAAATATTTCAATTTAATTGCAATGACTTACTTTTTGGCTCAAAAATAGATTCTGAATCTTATTTTTTCTCTTTCATAAATACCTTTGAGGTTGAAGGGATGCTAAGGGGAGTTGGCACTTTAAACTCCAAGCTCGGTTCTCCATGGCTTTTACCTTTTTCGGTTTCGGACCAACTTTTTAAAAATTTCTTTTTTGGATGAATTCCAGACGCTCCTGTCGATGGTCTTTTCATCATTTCTCTTTGTCTCGCAACTTCTTCGCTTGGCAATATAAAAGTGAGTCCTCTATAATACGGAAGTTGTCTAACATTCCTTTCTGTCTTGCAAACAAAAGACGAAATTAGTTGTTTTAATTCACCAAATCTTCTATATAAAGTGAACATTCGAATTTGTAAAAGTGAGTCTATTAACACGTAACAATGGTCCATCATTCTCAAAAATTCTGAAAAGGTTGATAAAAGTTGGTTGATTTCTTGGCTAGATGGTGAAGTAGGTTGGTCAGTCACACTTTTTATTTCATTGAGACGAGAAACAATTGTTATTAAAATTGTTTGGTAATTTTCTTCTTCTAAAGACATCTTAAGTCTTACCACACATCGAGTTAATGGTTTTTCAGTAATCAAATTTGAAGCAATTAATTCTTTAAAACAATTTAATACTTTTTCTTCTTTTTTGTGGACACTCATTAAGTGTTTGACGTCTCTCATTTGTGTGACAGTCGGGTTTAAAGGAAAATGGTGTATCATTTGTAACAAGTTGTTTAAAAAGACGTCATAAAGAGAAATATAACTGTTCAATACACTTCGAATTGGATCTTGATACTTGGCTATATTGGGTAACATTGGCTGACCATTACACAAAATGAAAAAGATATTTATCATTAACATAATGAAAATTTACAGTTTTTTGACTTCAAACTTTTTATTTAGTCTAATAGTGTTAATCGGCATAATCATGTATGTAGTATTATATTTAATTTACATGTTTAACTTAAATAATAATACAGTCATTAAAATGTGACAATTGTTGTATACTTAATTTTGAATTCATGTTATAATAATAACAATGTTTGAATGAACAAACAAACAATAATAATATTTAATAAAGTTAATATAGTTATTAATATTTTTAAAATTATTTTTTTCATTATTTTA